GGATTAAAAAACAATGGAAGAGGCCAGTGTGGCTGAGCCTTGATTGTGGTCTGGAGAGATAGGGGAGCCCCAGACTGAGTGAGCTGGGGGCTGTGAGGCAGTTTTCTTTCTTTAAGCTTTATTTGAAAGGCAGAGTTAAAGAGTCAGAAAATTCTCATTCACTGGTTCATTCTGTTGATGGGTGCAACAACCAGGGTTGAACCAAAAACCAGGGGTTTCTTCCACATCTCCCACATGGGTGCTGGGGCCCAAGAGCTTGGCCTGTCCTCCACTGCTTTCCCAGACTCATTAACAAGGTGCTGAATTGGAAGTAGAACAGCCAGGATTTAAACTGATGACCATGTTGGTGATGGCTATACCCAAGGTATATGATGCAGAGGGAAGGACTAGTGCCTCAGTTAGGCTTTTAAAGGCTCACAGATAGGGACAGCAGACTGAGCCACCACCATTTGGTCCACACCAGGATACCTAGGATGAAGTCTCACCAGCATTTCTGATCTAGCTCCCTGTTAAAGAGTACCCAGGAAGGCAGTATTTGAGGGCCCAAGTACTTGGTTCTGTGCCATCCATGGGAGAGACCCAAATGGAACCCCTGTCAGCCTGGCCCAACCCCAACTGCTGCAAGCATCTGAAAAAAGAACTAATGGATGGAAGATCTGTCCCAGCCCATCCCATCTCTCTGTCACTCTTTTCAAATAAATACATCTTTTAAAAAATAAGATCACAAATGAACCACTGAACACTTGCTGAAACACTCTGTCTTCTCTGTCTGCTTTACGAGTACCCTACTGCTGCAAAGGGCCCAAGACCTCAACCCTGCTCATGGAGAGGAAAGGCAGAGCTGCATGGCACACCCAAAGCCATGATGCTGCTAGGTGCAAAGCCAAGGCGAAAGTCAGCTCTTACCCTCTCCAGAGGTGCAGTATTCCCAGTCCGAGTCCCAGCACCAACCCCTCAGCAAGTGGGCGCACAGCAGAGGACTACACCAACATCACCTAGCTGCCATAGCAGCAGCTTCCCAGCTCAGGCTGCAGAGACCCAGGGAGGGCCAATCCCAGCTTCAGGGAGTTCTCAACCCTGACTGAAACCCAGCTCCACCCTCTGTAAGACATTTACTTTCTTCCTCCCAACAGTGCCCAGTGGGCACACAGGTGCAGAACAGACACTTCACACTTCCTCCAATCGAGGTTTGGAAGGCTAGGTCCTGGGGATCTGGTAAAAATCCGGGTCAGGCCACTTCACCCTGGATTGAGAAGGCAACAATGCTGCCTCCACAGCAGAGCACAGCAACAGATCAAGCTGCAAGGGAAGTGACAGAGACACACGAACACAGGAAGACACCAGGTGGAACTCACTCAGGTCCTGAGACAGCCTGGTCATCGCCTTAACACCACCACCCTCCCCGCAGTCAGTGAATCTGCAGGAGCAGAAAGGGCTCCATCTCCTTCTGCAGGGCAATTTGTGGCTGCAGATGCCGCTGGGTCATGGCTCAGGTTGGACTCACGCTTCCGCTTTCCCTACCGCTAGCTCAGGCATCATCAAACGAGAAGCGCGACCCTCTGGCAACTTCTCCATCAAGTAGTTATTGGTGAAATTCTCTTTGTGCTCATGTAGCTCCCCAAGATATGGCCCCCGGATCTATAACCTACTAATAGCAATAATTTCTACTCCTTCATCCTTTGCACTGCACAGACATGCGTAGGCCGACATCTGCATCCTCTAGAGCTCATTTTTCACACTGTTCTAAGCAAGCAAGGAGGGATGCTGTGAAAGACTCAGCTTTCTTTCTGAGGAATGGAGTGATGTAGAGAGAGACAGAGATTACAGGAACTTGGAGGGGTAGCTGGTGAACAGCTGCCAGGCATCGGGTACTATGGGGAGCCAGGGCAATGAGACCAGGCTTGCCCTCAGGGAGCACACAGGGTGACAGCAACAGACAGGTATACTGGCAGATGCAGCTTGCACTGAGGCACAGCGCAGTGGATGCTGCCCCCGCCCCCCAGCCGGAAGTTGGCATGGTGGGGTTTAATGCAGCCAACAGCAGAAAAGCAGGAACCAAGTTCAGCCCCATACTTGGGGGTCTCAGCAGACTGATCTCAGAGTAAAAGACAGTCTTCACCCAATATGAGTCCTTTCCCCACCTCTTCACACAGACGCCGGAGAACACAAGTGCAGAGAGCAAAGAGACATGAAAATGCAGTTCCTTCGTTAGAGGACCCTCATTCTTTGCGGCTAAGCACAGGGAGTGCAGGCTAGCCACACACCAAGTCCCTCAAAACCCGGGGGCTGCATTTGAATCACTCTTCCCAACCTCCAGGCCCTAAGCCAAGCCAATCAGAGCCCTTCTCTGGGATTTTTTTTTCTCCTAGGTGAAGGTGACAGGGAAGCAGTCAGACCACTGTGAAGTAGAAATCCTGGATGTGGCCAGTAACCATCCGTCCAGTCCTACAGCAGGGGATATTGGAGATGGAACCCAACACACACACACACACACACACACACACACACACACACACACACACACACGGGGGGGACAAAGAGCATCCCAGCATCAAATCCTTGGGAATCCTCTCAGGCAAATTTTACTCCTGCCCTCCATGGACATGTAAATCAATAACTCCCTTGGTATTTACTTGAAAGAATTCAAGTTGGATTTCTATCCCTTGTAAACAACACAGTCCTAACCCAGAACACTCCCTCCTCACCTCCCAGTCTTCCTGGGACTGACTGGTAAGCAGGGGGGCCAAACTCTTACTCTAGTATAAAGGACTGACACTAAATCCTTTCTTGAGAGAAGACTGTAAGCACGAGCTTCTCTGAAAAAAACAGAATGTTGGAACCTGGCATGGTAGCATAGCAGGGAAAGCCACAACCTGCAGTGCCAGCATCCCATATAGGTGCCAGTTTCCACTTCCAATCCAATGCACTGGGAAAGCAGCAGAAGATGCCTCAAGTCCTTGGGCCCTCACCACCCCTGTGGGAGACCTGAATGAAGCTCCTGGCTTCAGCCTGGCCCAGCCCCAGCCACTGCAGCCATTTGAAAATTAAACCAGATGCACATCTCTCTCTCTCTCTCTCTCTCTCTCTTTCTTTCTCTCTCTTCTTTTTCCCTCTCTGCAACTGTGACTTTCAAATATACAAATAAACCTGTGTTATTTTTTGGTCAGGATACACTCAAATAGCAGAACACTGACTTAGGACTGCTTATGAAGGACTAAACTTTTGTAACACTATAGGGGAAATCAGTGGGGAGAGGAGACTTGGAGAGGGGGAGGGACAATCCCAGAGTCTGCGGAACTGTATCATAAAATAATTTTTTTAATTTAAAGGTTAAAAATAAATTACACACAAAAAATTAATTTTTAAAAACAAACGTTAAAAATAACAAAGAAATGCTGGCCTGTAGATGAAAAGGCTGTGTCTGGAAATGCAGGAACTAGTGGTTATCTCAGGTGAAAAGCTGGAGCGGAGTGCATCATTCAAGTTCTTGTTTCTTTCTATTCTTTGAAAATATTTCAATGTGCATGCTAATCATTTATTTTATTTTTAAGAACGTGTTTATTTTTTATTTCAGAAAGGAAGTCTTGCAGGGACAGACAGAAATCTTCTATCCACTGGTCCACTTCTCAAATCGCTGCAAAAGCCAGCATTGGGACAGGATGAAGCCAGGAGCCAGATGCTTCCTCTAGGTCTCCCTGTGGGTGCAGGGGCCCAACAACTTGAGCCATCTTTTCCAGGAATAGCTGCTACTTGAACCAGCACGTATACGGGATGCCAGCGTCAACGGTAGCAGTTTAACCTACTGCACCACCACACCAACCCAAGCATATTAAGATTTTAACTTTAAGATTAGAGTTCTAAGGCCCAGCATGGTAACCTAGTAACTAAAGTCCTCACCTTACATGTGCTGGGATCCCATATGGGCACCAATTCGTGTTCTGGCTGCTGCACTTCCCTTCAGTTCCCTGCTTGTAACCTAGGAAAGTAATAGAGAATGGGCCCAAAGCCTTGGGACCCTGCAAACATGTGGAAGACCCAGAAGAGGCTCTGGGTTCAGATTGGCTCAGCCCAGTCCTTGTGTCCACTTGGGGAGTGAACCAGTGAACAGATGATCTTCCTGTCTCTCTTTTTCTCTGTAAATCTACCTTTTCAATAAAAATAAATAAATCTTTTTTTTTAAATAGATCCTAGGACCAATTTTGGAACTCAGCAGGTCAAGCTGCCACCTGCTACAACTACATCTGTATACAGTTCTGGTTGCTCGACTTCCTGTCCAGCTTCCTGCCAACGAGCCTGGGAAGGCAGCGGACAAAGACCCAAGTACTCAGGGAGCTGGATGGAGTTCCAGGCTCGGCCCAGCTCCAGCTGCTGCAGCCATCTGTGAATGAACCAGCCCCCGGAAGAGCTCATTCTCTCTATCTCTCTTTGGGTCTTTCTCACACTGCCTTTCAAATAAGTAAATTTGCTTTAAAAAAAAAAGAATGATTAGAATCCTACAGGAAGCAACATCCTGAGTTTGCTAGTTCTGGCAGATATAGAGTCTAATTAATTATGAACGGGAAGAAACAGAAGCAAGGGAAAGAATACAGGAGTTGTTGGAGGAGGAAGCATAAAAAAAGAAAATAAAAATGAGGAAAGGGACCAAAAAGAAGAAGGGAGGAAAGAGAGGGAAGAGACAAAACAGGAAAGGAGAGGCCCAAAAAGACTAGAGAAAAACAGCAGGGCACCTAGTCTAGTCCCTGCTCCGCCTCCTGCACACCCAGCTCCGCCTCCTGAACACCCGGCTCCGCCTCCAACCCCGGCCCCGCCTCCTGCACACCCGGCTCCGCCTCCTGCACACCCGGCTCCGCCTCCAGCCCCGGCTCCGCCTCCAGCACACCTGGCTCCGCCTCCAGCCCCGTTGGCTGCTGCAGCGCCACCGCCGGCCGCCAGAGGCCGCCACGCGCAGCCGCCGTCATCCCGCGCGCGCGGCTGACCCTCTCTCCCGCCTCAGCACCGGCCGCTGGCTTCCCCGCCGCCGCTCTCGGGCCTCGGCCGGGTCTCGCGTGCCTTGTTCTCAAAGAGGGCCTCGCGCCGGGCGGCGCGCGCCGTCCCCCTGCCTCGCGGCGCGGGGTCTCGCGGGCCCCGCTCCCGCCCTCCGCTCGCCTGGCCCGGACCGGAAGCGGCGCCGCACGGCCTGGGCCTGGCGCGGGGGGCGGGCACCGGGGCCCGGTCGGAGATGGGCAAGAAGCACAAGAAGCACAAGTCGGACAAACACCTCTACGAGGGTGAGGAGGGGCGGGGGCGGGCGAGCCCGCCTGGGCGCCGCAGGGCTTGGGTTCTTCCGAACGGACCCTCGCTCGAGCGCCCGAGAGGCGGGCCGGGGGGCCCCCCGCTCCTGTGCCCCGGCCGGCCCCGACCCCCGCGGCCGAGGGGGCGCGGCTGGCCCGAGTCGGCGCAGACCCCCCGGGCGGCGGGGGCCGGCGGCGTTCGATCCCGGGTCCCCCCTGGCCGTGGCCGGCTCTCTGGTGGGGCCGGCCCAGAGGCCCCGGAGCGTTCGGGGCGGGAGGCGGCGCCGGGGCGAGGCTCCGTCATTCAACAGGTGCTTGTGGGGGTGCGGGGGGCGCGCCCCGAGCCGCCGGGGCCAGCCGGGGCCTGTGCCCGCCACGCCTGGGCGCTGCGCGCGGGGCGTCCCGGTCAAGGCGGATGCTTGCTTTGTGTGTGTTTTCAGAATATGTGGAGAAACCTCTGAAGCTGGTCCTCAAAGTGGGAGGGAACGAAGTCACCGAGCTCTCCACCGGTAGCTCCGGGCACGACTCCAGCCTCTTCGAAGACAAAAGTGATCATGACAAACACAAGGACAGGAAGCGGAAAAAGAGGAAGAAGGGAGAGAAACAGGTTCCCGGGGAAGAGAAGGGAAGCAAACGGAGACGGGTCAAGGTAAAAGGGGCTGCGGGAGGGCCCCCGGCAGAGCGGGACCCAAGGGTGACTTCCCTGGAGTCCACCCTCCATCTGGGATCCCAAACACGCATGGTGGGGTCGTATCTTTAGGCTCGACATCACTTGGGGTTCCAACGTGGCTTCGAAAGTAAACCTTCTAATGACCACATCTGTCTTGAATTTGAAAGCGACATTTGTCTTGTGGCAGAAAAATCGTCAGTGGCCTGTGATAGCTAGGATGTCAGAAACAAAAGTATTTTCTTTACCATTTACATTTAATAGAAAAGAAGCAGTGGATGTGTTGCTTTGCCAGTTAGACGAGATTCCATTCAGGCCTGATCACGTCTGAAACCATCCTGGAATTGTGCACTTTCCAAGTGTAATATCCTGTCAAGGGTCCTCAGAGTCAGGTGCTGGGTCTGGAGGAGGGGTGTGTGCATAGGTTAGTTGTATAACTTTCCTTAAGTTTCTCTTTGCAACTTCTGAAGTCTTTTCCCTCCTCGGTTTTAATTGCCTATATTTAGACCAAGACGACGTACAGGTCTGCTGCCTTTTCTTCCCTAAATTGTAAATGCCAAAGATCCAAAAAGTTTTTCACAGATTTCAAGAGTTACAGAATTAAATACACAACATCTGCTTCTCCCCCAGATCACACAGGGTCCCCGCTAGAAGTAACCTAGTATTTTCAAAAATGAATTTTCATTAGTGGAGTTACAAACGTTTTTTTAAAGTACTGCACAAAAGCAGGCTCTGGCATCACTGTGGAGTTTTACTTGGTCAATTTTCCAGTGTTTCTTTGATCACTGCTACTAAGACCTGTGTCGCCCTCAGCTAATTCACTCCGACCTCACACTGCAATAGGCAGAACCTTGAATTAGCATTCATCTGCGGTTTCACAACCCATCTCCCCTTTCAGCCAGAGAGTCATGACAGCTACTGCTTAAATCCACATTCACGGGGCTTTTAAAATCTCTTAACTAGAGAGTAAATGATTGTGTGATTGTTTGGAAACTCATTCTAAAACCCATCCACGTTCATTTCCCCCAAAACTGAGGTATTTCTTCTTGGACACGTCTGTGATAGCCATGCATCCCCTGCTCTAGCTCTGTAGGCCTCCTGAGACGCGTGACTGCTCCCCTGGGTTACATGTCTTCCTTCTTGTAGATTTAGTCCCTTGTTCTGGTGGATTCGAACTCAAGATTTTCTAGAGAAAGTAGGTGTAGAAGTGGATTCGTTCAACATTGAGTGTATTTTCACACAGACTCTCACACTGTTGATGGTGTGGCTCAGAGTAGAATGTTGCAAATTACTTCCCTGCAGTGTGTCGGAGGCCTTGATGTACTGTCTTCCGGCTTCTGAATGTGCTGTGGAGGAGTCTAGTACCATTACCGGCTACTCATTCTGATCCCTCCCCAAATGGCTACTACAGATTGAGACCAAAGCCCCGAGCCAGACACCCCATCCTGGTCTCCCAGGAGGAGACAGGGCCCAGAGACTTGGCTATCCTCTGTTGACTTCCCAGGTACACCGGGCAGGAAGCTGGGTGGGAAGCAGAGTAGCCATGATTCAGACTGGCACACTGGTGTAGGATACTGGCATCAGAAGCAGTAGTGTAACCCACTGCAGCACAGTGCTCCCTCCTGGAAGAAGGCTTTTCCCAGTCAGTGTTCCAGGTCTGCCCGGTGCTCTGACCTCAGGCCAGCATGTGTCCCACTTCAGACTCCTGGCTGGTTCCCATGTCCCTGAGCTTGAGCTGCTCCTAGGTCCTGGGGCTTGGACTCCTCTTGCTGTTGACGGCCTCTGTGCTCAGGCGGTGTCATGTTCTCTGTGTCCTGAGAGAGCCTGTTTGCCTTCCAGCTCTTAGAAGGACTGACACAGGTTGTCTATTCTCATCTCTTCCGTTGACCCTGTTCTGTTTACATCTTAACCCTTCACTAGAAGTACTTGCTTTTAAACACTTATAGTTTTAGTGCTGACATTTAGCTTTGAGGCACACTACTATACTCTTATTGTTCATTGTTCATTTCTTTTTCTTGATTACATAGTATTTTGTTGTATAGATGTGTTTAATACTACTTTTTAATGTTAGAAGTACTGCCACAATGGTCTCATTGTACATACATTTTTGTGTGTGTATGATTGATTTGCTATTGATTTGTTTTTATTTGAAAAGTAGATTCTACAGAGAGAAGGACAAATAGAAGAGCTTCCATCTGCTGGTTCATTCCACAGATGGCCACCTCAGCCAGACCTGAGCTGATCTGAATCTGGGAGCCAGAAGCTTCCTCCAGGTCTCCCCTGTGGGCACAGGGTCCAAGGCTTTGAGGCATTTTTCACTGTTTTGCTATGCCATAAGCAAGGAGCGGGATCAGAAGTAGAGCATCCAGGATGTGAATCTGTGTCCGTGTGTGGTGTGCATGCCACAGGGCAAAGAATTAGTTTGCTGCACCACTGCACCAGCCATGTATACATATCTTTCAATGCTTTATAAGGGTATCTAAGGTTGGATTCCTGGAAGTATGACCTTGTGTCCCAGCTCCTCTGCCTCTCCTGACTGCAGCTCTCATCAGCCCCCTTCTCGTGTGATGCCATTGTATATTGAGGTGTGTGTACATCCCCAGTCTCCTCTGACTCACACCTGCATAGTGGGACTCATGGATGAGGTCAGGTAGCAGCTTTGAGAAGGGGTGTTGCCCCAAGACTCAGGGCTGCGTGGATAGTTCTGGCTTGTCTGGGATGCCGTTGGTTCTGCAGTCGCTATTATGGTCTTGTCTTTTCAGGCTAGAGCAGGGTTGGAGGAAGGGTTCTTTCTGCTCGTGCTGTCAGGAGAGGGAAACTTCAGGCAGGGATCCTGTCTGAGCTGGGCTCTGGACCTCCAGGGAGTTTCAAGAGCACAGACTGCCTCTGGGCTGCTCTCAGAAGTCGGCTGTGTGCCATCTGTGGGCCAGGAGGGGCTCTGTAGGAATGCCTGTCACTGCCATGCGATACCAAGAGAAAGAAAAGAGTAGAGGGCACCGTTTTCCTTTTAGATTATTCTCCTTGTTGGCATTTGTAACTGCTGTTCATATTCCACTAGTCAGAACTTCCCACAGTGACTACCTTAAATCTTGGGAAGCTTGGAAATTCTTTTAATTGGGAAGAGTGATGGGGACGTTGTACCACCTTAAAATCAGGAAATCTGCTCCTTAGAAAATTGAAGTTTAGGAAAGTACCTACATATAACATGAAGCCTTATAATCTTAGAAGTGTCTTAGTTAAGTGATTTTCTTCGTTTGAAAAGGAAAGCCTATTGAAAGCCCCACAGGTAGAGTCGATAGCACCTGGCACTGCAAATCTGTGCTGTTGAAGGTGAGCAGAGGTATTAGGGTACAGCCTGCCTTGGTTTAACCTTACTGCATTCTAGATACCACCTCTGTGAACGGGGCTGCATTTTGTTTTTAACCGTATGGATGCTAAGATATTGGCAAAGAATTTGCATCAGCGTTACTCTTTCCTGCAGGTTAAGCTTTACATTTTGTTTCTCGCTCTTTTTTCCTTTCTTTTTTTCTTTCTTTCTTTCTTTCGTTGTTGTTTTGCTCTGTTTTGTTTTGTTAAGGTTATTTATTTATTTAACAGAGAGAGGAAGTAACGAGTCTTCCGTCCGTTGGTTCACTTCTCAAATATTCACATTAACCCAGTTGGGCCAGGCCAAGCCAGGAGCCAGAAACTCTATCCCGGTGTCTCACATGGGTACAGTTTCCACTGCCTTCCCTGACACACTGCCAGGGAACTGGATTGGAAATAGAGCAACCAGGAGTCAAACTGGTGCTCCAGTATGACGTGCTGGCACCACAGGTAGTGTCTTACCCCACTGCATCACAGTGCTAGCCCTAAGCTTACATTTATTTCTTTTTAGACATTTATTTTTATTAGAGTGAAGGAGAGACAGAAAAATCTTCCATATACTGGTTCACTCCCCAAATGACCACAATAAAGCTGAACCAATCCAAAGCCAGGAGTATCTTCTGGGTCTCCCAAGTGCGTGCAGGGTCACAAGATTTGGGCCATCCTCTGCTGCTTTTGCAGGCCATAGCAGGGACCTAGATTAGAAGTGGAAGAGTTAGGATATGAACTGGCACCCATATGGGATATCAGCATTTGCAGATAGAGGGTTAACCAATTGAGCTATCAAGCCAACCCTGTAAACCTTGCATTTTCAAATCACTTGTCCTTTTAGGTTTTATTTATTTAAAAGGCAGAGTGACAAAGAGATCGGAGAGACACACAACTCTTCCATCTGTGATTTACTTCCCAGATGCCAACAATAGCCAGGACTGGAAGTCAAAACCTAAGAATTTCATCCTAGTTTCTCACGTGGGAGGCAAGAACCCTGAGCACTTGGTCCAGCAGAGGCAGCACTCAGTTCCAGGCACCCTGATAGGGTACAGATGACCCAGTAGCACCTTGAATCCCTGCCCCACCACCCCCACCCGTCAGTGTAAGTGTGTAACCAGATGTGTACTCACTGTGATTACTGAAAAACTACACATACTGTTTTACAAAGAAAGATTGTGTGTGCTACATGCTGGGTTCTGTCTTGAATGTTACTTTACTCTGTATCATAATCCTATGAAATTGATATTATCATCTAAGATTTATTTTATTTGAAAGAGAGATAGAAAGTAAGAGTCAGAGATCTTCCTGGTTCATTCCACAAGTGGGCACAATGACCAGGGCTGGGTTGAACCAGGGCCAAGAGCCAGAAGCTTCAGGTCTCCCACATGGGTGCAGGGGCTCAGGCACTGGGCCATCTTTTTGTTGCCTTTCCAAGCTCATTTGCAAGAAACTGGATCAAAAATGGAGCAGCCAGGGCTCAATCCAGCACCCAGATAGGGTACTGGGGTTGTAGGCCACAACTTTACCTGCTATGTCACAATATTAAACTCCCCCATTTTTTCTTTTTCTCAAGATTTACTTTTTTAAAATAAATTTTTTAAAAAGATTTGCTTTAATTGGAAACA